ATCCGTCTCAGAGCCAGGCATGCCGGAGAGGTATGGCCAGCAGCTCGCTCGTTGTTTGTTGTGTTCACGGAGGAAATGAGTTTGTGTCAGCGATGCCTCGCCAGGCATCACAGTTGGGCCTAGCCAGGATGCTCTTGACAAAGAGCAGCAGGCCTCTGTGGGGTCTTAAGTAGGGGGTGAGTGGAGAGGGAGACGTTAAATGGTAGGAACGGGAAGGAGCCAGCTACAGCGGAGACAGGGACCTTATCCATCCCCCAGTTGGTCAGTCACCCCCTCTGCTGTGTCTGGTAGTGGCCAGGAAACGAGGTCTGAGGTCAAGCATGACTTTAACCATGCTGCCTTCATTATCTTGGCCTCACATTGCCTTATGGGTAAAACGATGGGCTAGGATTAAAAAAACAAAATAGCCCCGCCGGTGTGCCTCTGTGGTTGAGTGTCGACCTATGAACCAGGAGGTCAGGGTTCGATTCTCAGTCAGGGCACATGCCCGGGTGGCGGGCTCCATCCCAAGTAGGGGGTGGGTGCAGGAGGCAGCCGACAAATGATTCTCATCACTGATGTTCCATCTCTCTCTCCCTCTCCCTTCTTCTCTCTGAAATCAATAAAAATATATTATAAAAAAAACCCCCACACACAACAAAATAGAATAAGAAACCAACCAGAATCCTTTCTTCAAATGAGATCTTACTTTGGAGTCTCAAGAAATATATATATATCTCAAGTGTGCAAGGGTGGGGGTGGGAGTGAGGTCTGAATGCTCTCTGGCTGCTCCCACATCAGTCACGTGCACAGCGTCCTGCTCCCTCCGGCTCATCCCTAACACAGTTTGAAAACCACTGGCCTAGATAAGCTTCTCAAGTGCCCTCCAGGCCTAACACTCTGTGGCTCTGTTGCCTTTGGCACCAGAGTGACCTCAAATCAAAGGAGCAATTCTAGGTTCCAGAACAGCCCTGCCAATGAAAACATGTAAACTGCACAAGCCATTTCACGTTGCCCTAATAGCCACCTTCTAACGAGTAAAAAGAAATGGGCAAAATTCATTTTATTGACATATTTTACTTGTGCCAGCACATCCAAACAATTCCACCTGCGACCTACATAAACGTGATGGAGATATTTTACGTTTTTATTTGTCGAAATCCAGCACGTATTTTAAACTTAGAGCGCATCTCAGCTCATCTTCGCCCCATGTCAGGTGTTCAGTGGTTACGGGTGGCAGGGGCTGCCAACCTGGGAAACACAGATATGGAACCTTAAATGCTCAGAGCCTCTTCCTGAGTTACCACCACACCCTGCCCATGAATTTAAAGGGAAAGACCTATGCCTCCTATGTCAGAACTCATGGGCAGTGAGAGAGCGGATGGGCCCACTTTTGTTTCCATCACCCCACAATGCTGCGGTGGCCACTCCTCTAGGGGGCCCGGGGTCCTTTTATCAGCCCTCTCTAGGCCTGGAATGTGCCACAGATGTTTCACCAGGTTGGCCTCAGTGACCTCAACTGGGTGCCACCTCACTTTTCCACACGCCACTTCTTGCTGACTGAATATCGCCTTGATCCTGAGATGTATTTTTCCTAAGTTTTCTCTAAGCCTTTCTCTGCCTGAATTCTAGTACTTCCAGGAGTCCCCCTTGACCTTGAGGATTATTTTGAAAACCTGATTCTCACCCAGTCCTCACCTTCTGCTGTTACCCCACACACATAATCATTCGAGTGCGCATAAAGGGACTTGGTTAATGAATACGTTTGTTCAACATTATCCCTATTATGTCTTTTTAAAAAATATATATTTTATTGATTTTTTACAGAGAGGAAGGGAGAGGGATAGAGAGCTAGAAACATTGATCAGCTGCCTCTTGCATACCCCCGACTGGGGATGTGCCCACAACCAAGGTACATGTCCTTGGCCGGAATCGAACCCGAGACCCTTCAGTCCGCAGGCCGACGCTCTATCCACTGAGCCAAACCGGTCAGGGCCCTATTATGTCTTATATGTCGGCCTAAGTTACCTTCATCTTTTGGGTTTAACACGGTACTTTGCACTGAAAGAAACAGTGTTTTCCTTATGATGTTTGTTTGTAGGAACAAGGATATGGCCGAGTATAATGGCTAGAATACTAAAATACAACGAGGATGCTTTGCTGTTTCTTTGGGACTAAAATTGAACATTAAGGCTTTGCTGGTTAGTTGTATATAGTTCAGGTTCATAGTCATTGGCTGGCTTGGTATTACAAATTTAAATCTAAGGGCAGTGCTTCAGATCGAATTTTCACATTTATGGTTCAAAAAATAGGAACAAAATCACCTCTTTTTGTATAAAAGAAGCTTAAAAGCGTAGCGACTGAAAAATATCCATCTGTATAATCTTATTTTTTCTGCCACTCTGTAATTGGGATATAAACTGTATACTTCGAGATGCCTGATAATACAATAAGTACATCTTTGTATGTGTTAATCACATGCTTATTTCATGTTTCAGGTTTGATAAACGATGAGAAATGTTGCCATCATTTCCGATTTTTTAGCCCGGAAGGCTTAGATTCTTAGTCAACTAGTCAATTATCATCACTAGTTTGAAACTATAATAAAATACTCATCTCATCAGATGAGTTACACTTCTTTTTGAAGTTCCTTTCTCCTTCTGAGCCTCATAGGAAAAGCTGTTAAGAGCTCTTGTGTAAGTCCCTACTTTGTTTGGGCCTAGATACTGGGGTGTTAGCAATGAATTTATAATTTAATAGAGGTCTGATATACGAAATTCATGCAAGGGGCTTGGCCCTCGCAGCCCCAGCTTCCTCCGGAAGGTCGTCCGGCTGTCTGGTCTAATTAGCATATTACGCTTTTATTATTATAGCTAGATCCTAAGTACCCTTAAATAGATGCACCCCACTTCCTTAAACAAGGACAATGCTTTTTTACTGATTGCCTTTTATCAGTAATCCTGCCCCCACCCCCCCAGCACTTGCACCAGAATTTTTCCCCCCTTTTTTTAAATTTTTTTTTTTTAGTTGGGGTATTCCCATGTCCCAGATCAATGAATGAACACAGTGACTCTGGATGCACAGACACAACCGATGAGAGGCAGAATCAGGACCTGCACCCCGAACGCTCCAACCCCGAGCTAGTGAACATTTCCCCCCAATAATGATCCAGGGTGAGGGCTGCCTTAGCTATTTAAGCTCTAAAGAGATCCAGGGTAGACAGACCTTCCAGAAAGTTCTTTTCTGATGTCTATGGCAAGTACCCAGAACACAACTTTCCTGGCCAGGACCTGTTGATCCCCGAAGGTGTGAGAGCCAAAGGGTGTGCCCTCACCACTGCATGTGTGTGTTGGTGTGTGAGTGGCGAGGGGACTACCGAAACCCTTTCCTGTTTGAGATGACTGTATGCGTTTACTTCCATTGGAAACACTGGCGGGAAAGCTAGACTGTGTGTATGTATATGCATAGCCCCGAGGTCGCCAAGGGCTTTCTCTGACTAGTGCGTTGAGCTCTGAGAGCCAGCAGATCTGCACTTAAAAGCATTTACATGCTTGCGTCGCCACCACTTAGCTGACTTATCAGGCCTGGGGCCTGAAGTTTGTCTCCAACACCTTCAATCCGGTAAGAGAGAAAAAAACCCCACAAAGCAAACTACTCTGTCTTGCTCACAGGGCTCCCCGGCTCACGGCATGGAACGCATCCCACTCCTTCCCCCTGCCAGGCTCTCAAGCCCGGAAAGGGCTAAAGGAGAGGGCCCTACATCTTCAGGGCTCTAGGATGCAGGTCTCTGCAGTCCCTCTCTGCATCTCCACCCCAGACAGCTTTCCCTCCGTGTCCCTGAGATTTCCCAGAGGCGGGGCTGGCGGGCTACTGTGGCCCCTTCGTCCTCCCCACGCGCGCGCCTGGGCCAGCGACCCCCAGGCGGCGCCAGTCTGGTGATTGACACCGAGTTCAGGTTCCTTTCCGGGGCCAAGGCTACTCCACAACCTCAGGGCGGCTGTCCTGGGCTTGCCAGGGGCCCTGGGGG